GAGTTAGAGCCAGCTAAGGCAATGTAGTAAGACCCTGTTTTTACTAAAAGAAGGAAAAAAAAAAAAATTTGCCAACATGGTGGCACATGCCTGTAGTCCCAGCTACTCAGGAGGCTGAGGCGGGAGAATCACTTGAACCCAGGAGTTCAAGGCTGCAGTGAGCTATGACCACACCACCACACTCTAGCCTTGGTGAGAGAGCGAGACCCTATACCCCACCCCCCCAAAAAAGAATAAATAATAATAATGTGCTGGGACAACTCGTTAACCATTTGGAAAAAGAGAAATTGGATCCATATTTCACACCACACAGAAGAAAAATTTCCAAACATATTAGGGATATAAATGAAAAAAAATGAAACTACACAGATACTGGAAGGCAGCATGGGTGTGTTCCTCTTTAACCACAATGTTAGGGTAAAGCTTTCTAACAATTATTCAAAATCCAGAGGCAATAACAAATCAAGAAGCTGACCACATAAAAGGAAGAACGTTTCCTGACTGAACAGCAAACATAAAGTCAAAGACAACTTAGGAACTGAGAGAGAACGTCTGCAGCATACACTGCATGAGTGAAAGGTTAATGTCCCTACCGTATAAAAAATTCTTAAATACCAAAGGGAAAAGGCCAAAAACCGAGTAAGAAATGAGAAATAGATATGAAAAGAAAATTCATACACACAAAAAGAAATAGACCTTAATAATATTGACCTCATTGTAATTAGAGAAAAATGCAAATGAAAACTACACTGAGGGCTTACTGCAGCTAATGGATTGGCAAAAGTTAAAAAGCCTGACAACATACTCTGTAAGCAAGGCTGTGGCCAAACAGGCGCTCAGATGCTGCTGGTGGGTGGGCTGACTGGAAGGTTTGGAGAACTTGGACGTAGCTAGCAAAAAAACTATGAAAGCACTTACCTTTTTAAAAATTTTTATTTTATTTTTAGAGATAGGGTCTTGCTCTGTCGCCCAGACTGGAATGCAGTGGCATGATCTTGACTCACTGCAACTTCCGTCTCCTGGGCTCAGGTGATCCTCCTGCATCGGTGTCTCCAGTAGCTGAGACTATAGGTGAGCACCACCACACCCGACTAATTTTTGTATTTTTAGTAGAGACAGGGTTCTTTCCACATGTTGGCCAGGCTGGCCTCGAACTTCTGACCTCAAGTGATCTGCCTGCCTTGGCCTCTCTCAAACTGCTGGGATTATGGATATGAGCCACCGTGCCCAGCCTTAAATTATTTTTTTCTTTGAGACAGAGTCTCATTCTGTTGCCAGGCTGGAGTGCACTGGTGTGATCTTGGCTCACTGCAACCTCTACCTCCCCGGTTCAAGTGATTATCCTGCCTCAACCTCCCAAGTAGCTGGGATTACAGGCATGAGCCACCATGCCCACCTAATTTTTGTATTTTTAGTAGAGAAGGGGTTTCATGTTGGCCAGCATGGTCTCGATCTCCTGACCTCGTGATCCGCCCACCCCAGCCTCCCAACGTGTTGGGATAACAGGAGTGAGCCACTGTGCCCGGCTGCTTTAAATTTTTTTTTAAGAGACAGGGTCTCACTCTGTCACCCAGGCTGGAGTGCAGTGGTGCAATCATGACTCACTGCAGCCTCAAACTCCTGGGCTCGAGTGATTCTCCTGCCTCAGCCTACCGAGTAGCTGGGACTACAGGCGTGCGTCACCACGCTCAGCTAAGTGTCTTTTTTTTTTTTTTTTTTTTAAGTAGGGACGGGGTCTTGCTATTTTGCCCAGGCTGGTCTTAAATTCCCGATCTCAGGTAATCTTTCTGCCTTGGCTTCCCAAAGTATTGGGATTACAGGCATGAGCCACCACACAGGGAACACACTTACCTTTTGACCCAGCCCTCTTCCTTCTGGGAAAATGCTCCAAGGAAGCACCTCCAAACAATATGGAAATACATATGCACACAAGTACTCACTGTAGCACTGGGTGTAATGATTAAAACAAAGCACTGAGGCCAGGCACAGTGGCTCATACCTGTAGTCCCAGGTCACTTGAGGTCAGGAGTTCAAGGCCAGTCTGGCCAACATGGTGAAACCTCATCTCTATTAAAAATACAAAAATAAGCCGGGTATGGTGGCACCTGCCTGTAATTTCGGCTACTTGGGAGGCTGAGGGAACTGCTTCAACCTAGGGGGTGGAGGATGCAGTGAGCCAAGATTGTGCCACTGCACTCCAGCCTAGATGACAGAGTGAGACTCCACCTCAAAACAGAAACAAAAACAAAAAACCAAAGCATTAGAAACAACCTAAATGCTCGCACACAGAGGAGTGACTGAAGAAATCAGAGTACACTTTAAATGGAGTACTGTGTAGCTGTAGAAAGAATGAGGACAATCTCTATGAACTGATGTGCAGTGATTCCCAGAATATATTAAGTAGAAAAAAATCCAAAACTCAATATTAAATCTGTAATATACTACCTTTTACGTAAAAAAGAAAAGCAAATAAGAAACTGATTAGTTACTTACAGGGAGTAGGTAAAAAAAAAAAAAAGGGATTGGGTAGGGGAGAAAACAAAATGGAATACAAATGGAAAAATGCAATCAGATATGTTTTAAATGAGTAGCATAATTGTACTAAAGGTGCAAAGAACTAATTTAAGCCATTTGTAAATTCAGTGTTATCACCACGCCCTGAGTTAGCTAAAGACACAAAGAACTGAACAAATACCAAAAGTATGCCCAGAGTTTCCCATCAGGGTCAAGGCAGGCACTTCTGAACCCTTTACCTGTGTTGTAGGACTCAGCAAGTCAGTAAAGGCACCGTGGATGATGGGGTCCAGGTTCTTACTATCTAAGGAGTTACAAAGGTGGGCGGGGGAAGGGAGAACACCTGCTGTAGCACAGGAGTGGGGCTGGGATATCTGTGGGAACGCACGGCCTGTACATAGCAATTAGATAAAATAGACATCTCTGTGTGTGTAGGTGGCAGGTGCTCATGTGCACACGCTCACACCCCCACTCCTCCCGCTCTGCTGACTGAGAGGGCCTAGAAGCAATGCTATATGGCAGTGTCCAGGTCTGGGTTTCTGAACACCACTGTTCAAGAAAGAATAGGGCTCCTTGGAGAAACGGCTGGTTCAGGGCTGGGAGAGAGAAGACATGAGATGAGCCCAGAGCATCGAACCATGACAGAAAGTATAAAGTGCTTAAAGGCTGGTAGGGCCACCTCAAACCATCTAAGGAAAAAGCCATTCCGAGGGTCTCCCACTGACCGAATCTCAGACAATCAGAACAGCAACATAAATAGCGTTTGTAAAAGATTCTAATCTATAGCATCAAGTAAAAATTCGTGGATCCATCCTGATATAACTAAATGAAAAAAAAAAAAAAACATGGGGTTGGAAAGCTCTTCCTACAGTTGAATGGCAGGTAACAAATACAGAAAGAATAATATTAGAAAAATCACCATTGGGGGCGGGGGCGGGGGCGGTGGCTCACGCCTGTAATCCTGGCACTTTGGGAGGCTGAGGCGGGCGGACCACCTGAGGTCGGGAGTTTGAGACCAGCCTGACCAACATGGTGAAATCCCACCTCTACTACACAAAATTAGCCGGGTGTGGTGGTGCATGCCTGTAATCCCATTTACTCAAGAGGCTAAGGCAGGAGAATCGCTTGAACCCGGGAGGTGGGAGTTGTGGTGAGCTAAGATCTCGCCATTACACTCCAGCCTGGGCAACAAGAGCGAAACTCCATCTCAAAAAAAAAAAAAAAAAAAAAAAAAAATTACCATATGACAACACAGTAATAAACATTTCAGGCAAGAATCATTAATGGATGCTACAACTAGTTGGTGAATGTTCAATAAAAACGGGATACTCGTCTCCCCATAAGACACTTACTAATTATCAAAGGAGAAATACTAACTTGACCGTAGTGAAAATGGGCAGACCAGCTCAACCCAGGATCAGAGTTCCCGTCCCCAGTGAAGGGACAGACACCATCATCCACTCCTGGTGGGATACACCAGCAGGGACTGGTCACATCAATGGTGTTGCTGCCCAAAACATGGAATCTGAATCTGACGGGAAGACATGGGACATACACCCTGACCAAGGGTTACTCTAAAAAAATAAATGGGTTGCACTCTTCAAAAAAGTCAAGGTCATGAAAAACAGAGAAACCGATCCAAAGGAAAGGAAACGAAAGAGATATGACAGGGGATCCTGGACTGGATCCCACGTCAGGAGAAACAACAGAGCTTTTTTTTTTTTGCTATAAAGGATGTTAAAGGGACAATTGGAGAAACATGAGTAAGGTCTACCATTAGAGAATAGCACTGGATCAGTGTCAACTTCTTCATTTTGATCACTGTACTGTGGTTTTATGTGTCCAAGTGTCCTTATCTTGCGGAAATATACACAGAAGTATTTTAGATTAAAGGGGTGTCATGTATGAAGTGACTCACATTCTGTCCAGAAAAATAAGAGAGAGAGGGAGAGAGAATGACGAAGCAAACATGGGAAATACTGATGTTGGGGAACTGCAGTTGGGGAACTACTCAAGAGGCTAAGGCAGGAGAATCGCTTGAACCCGGGAGGTGGGAGTAGTGATTCCCAGAATATATTAAGTAGAAAAAAATCCAAAACTCAATATTAAATCTGTAATATACTACCTTTTACGTAAAAAAGAAAAGCAAATAAAGCGATTCTCCTGCCTCAGCCTCCCCGAGTAGCTGGGACTACAGGCACACCACCAAGCCCAGCTAATTTTTTTGGGTATTTTTAGTAGAGACAGGTTTTCACAGGGCCAGGCTGGTCTCGAACTCTTGACCTCTGGTGATCTGCCCACCTTGGCCTCCCACAGTGCTGGGATTACAGGTGCAAGCCACCATGCCCGGCCCCTCTACGCTCTTTTCTACAGGAGGGAGGCCACATGGCGAGAGCACGCCAAACCCGGTGTTTTCCCATACTAGCACATCACACGTGGAAAACCAGGCACCGCTCAGAAATACCTTCCCGCTATTCTGTATTTACCAATTGAATTGTTGACTCTGTCTCCTTTCTTCTTCTTATTTTTCTTGTTCTTGCCCTTTGGCTGAGGGGACTCTGCCAGTACCAGCTTGTTGTTCTGATGCTCGCTGGGAGAGGTGGGCTCCACAGGGGTTGGGTTTGACTTTTCTTCCTTGATGTGGTTCAGCTGCTTTTTGTTATTGTTATTACTGTTGACTTTTCTCTCCTCTCTTTTCTGCTCTGTGATGGATGTGAGATCAACCACCTTAGCCTTTGACTCAGTCTGGGCCCGAGGCTTGGGCTGCCCCTCTGTGGCCTTGGGCGGCTCCGTGGGCCTCCTTGCTGGCTCGCTGCTGGCCTTGCTGGTCTGCCTCAGCTTCTGCTTGCCATTTCCCTCTTTATGGTGCTGCATGATGTCAAAGAAAAAAGAGAGTGGCTCATGCTGCTTCCCATTCACCTCCTTGGGGAGGAGAAATTTGGAGTCTCTGGTGATGACGGGGTCTGCAGCATCCCCCTCAGCCCCCAGCCCTGGCCTGGGCTCTGAGTGGTTCATATGCCTGGAGGGGGACTGAGAAGAGGTTTCTGGTGCTTCAGTTTGCTCTAGTGAGCCATTGTGGATATTTTCAGAGTTAGGGACAGACTCTGTTGCTGCCTGGAAATTTCCAGTGAGCATGTCCAACTTGGGGCAGTCTTTACTTGGCCTCTCCTTCTTCTTCTTTTTTACAGCTCTTAGCTTCTGAAGCTCCTGAAGCCGCTGAAACTCCTCCTTGAAACGCTCCTCCTCTTCTTCCTCCTCCTCCTCCTCCCGCCGCCTCTGCTCCTCCTGGAGGTGCAGGTGCTCCCGGGCCCTGGCCTCTGCTTCCAGGCGAGCTTTCTCCTCCAGCTGCCAATGCGAAAAGAAGGCAGTTTAAGACTACAGTGAGTGCTAAAACTTAAGTCATACAGAAAAACTAAGATAATTTTAAAAACGAATCACATATGGAACATAAACTCTGAAGAGGCTGTAATACATCAGAACTTAACACACACCCACCTCCAATTCTCTTACTCTACAGGATTGTTAAACTTCATCTATTTACTAAAGTATATGCTTACTTTTTTGGGTGGGGGGGTGGTAGTTAACAAAAAATTCCCCATAGCCTTTGACCTGGTGCTAAACACAGTAACCAAGGGCAAAGCAGCTGCAAAGCACACATCCAGGGAGCCAGCTACCCCTTCACAGGTGCGGCAGAGCATCATGCTGCCTGGAGGAATGGATGATGTAACCAATACCACAGCCTGCCTGGGCAGTACTGAGGCTGCACACGTGCCGCCAGAACTCTGGCCACCTTTCCAGGCGAAGGCTAATGCATTCACCTGAACAGGGAATGTAAGAAATGTGTAACGGCTCACACCTGTGATCCTAGGAGTTCGAAAGCAGCCTGGGCAACACGGCAAAACCCTCTCTCTACAAAAAGTATCAAAATTAGCTGGATGTGGTGGCGCACGACTGTGGTCCCAGCTATTTGGGAAGCTGAGGTGAGAATCGCTTGAAGCCAGGAGGTCGAGGCTGCAATGAGCTGTGATGGCACCACAAAAAGAAATGTGTAGTAAAAGAAACAGAAATTCCTTCTTCCCACCCTAGCAGATAAACAAAAGTGCCCTATATTTTCACTAGTGGGACAGAGCAAATGACTCACTGTCCAAATTGATGGAAAATTAATTTTCATCCCAAGTGAAGACTGCCTTTGAGTAGTGATGTATACATACATCCTCCAGGGGCACAAATGGAAACTGTTCTTTGTGTTCAGAAAGCAGATGGGAGTCATCAGTGTCAGGAGCACAGCTCCATCCACCACCAACCTTTAGAAATGCTGGGGCTTATGAGAAACTCTGGCAAAAGCATTTCTCCTAGAGAAACAGAAAAGTACTCCCCAAGTGTAAATTATTTTTCACAATATTATTAACAGGAAAACTACCTTTTGAAAAACTTAAAAATTATGATACAAATTTAACATTGGTATGTTACTAAAAATTTCATTTGACAATTCAAGTAAAAATTATTTAACATCCTTCTCCATGTGTATGTCAGGAGCAGCACCCAGCAGCCACCTCATGGTGGGTCCTACAGTCCAATGTCTGGAGTGAGTTGCGGGGCTGCACTGCAAAAGTGGGGAGACTGACTCCATCAGGACACTTGCTGGCACACACTGGCCAGCTGGCGTCCTCTCAGAGCCGATCTAAATCCAACATGGGTGTCTTGTCAATATGTGGACCAATAACAAGCATGTGAGGGCAGGTGCCCTGGTCTTTAGCAGGGTGGCTGCCCCAGCACAGGCCTCCGGGTTGGACCTGCTACGGGACAGAACAGGTGAACTATTGCCGTCCCTTCAACAAGCAGCCAGCCAGTGAGCCTCAACACACATCTGTGAGCTGCTCTGTAAAACGGGTGCGGTGTAGAAAGCACCAGGAGGCGGTCCCTCCAGGTGGGACTGGTTGCTGAGCAGGGCCTATGACATCAGCCTCTAAGGATCAGCTGGGCCTCAAGTCTGGATCCAGACCACTTGCAAGGTCAGAGGGCAAGAGCCTGGGATGGAGAGTACCCTGAAAACTCAGGAAGGGGTCCCAGAGGCCTCCAGTGAATCTCAATGGGAGGTCTCAGAGCCTTGGACCACCGTGGGGGCCCCTGATGCTGGACACTCCTGAATGGAGGACACACTATGTTCTCCCCACTCCAGCAGTCTCCAGTCTTCTGGGGCACAGAACAAGGCTTCTCCCCTAAAGCCTCCCAATCAGGCCCAATAATCAGTCTAAACCTATTTCAGGACTGCGAGGCATGAGCAGAGTTCTTGAGGGTAGAGCAATCACAACAGCTAAGATAGAAGTAACAACACAGGACATCGGGCCCACCCTCTGGTCCACTGTGGGATCGTCCTCTTCCTCACCTCTCTGCCTGACCATGCCGCGGACAGAAACCTGGCCTCTTCCCAAGGCAACTGTCCTACTGTCAGAACCCCAGGAACCTACAAGTTCCCTCTGCATGCAGCCCACATCTGCTCACTGAGGTCTAGCTCTTGGAGCCTGACATTTTTAGGGAGCTGAAACCAGAAGGCTCTTTGGAACTGCTCCAGCATAGGGGCATTTAGAAAATCCTCCAAGAGAAAAGGGTTTTTTTTTTTTTTTTTTTTCTTTTGAGACACTCTCACTGTCACCCAGGCTGGAGTGCAGTAGCATAATCTTGGCTCACTAAAACCTCCACTTCTGAGGTTCAAGCGATCCTCTCACCTGAGTCTCCTGAGTAGCTGGGACTACAAGCGTATACCACCATTCCTGGCTAATTATTTTTTTCTATTTGACATTTGCTTTTTGTGACACACCATGCCCTCTGGAAAGGAGAGAACTGCTCATGCCTTCCCATGAAGACTTATTTTCCTCCCCTCTCATCAATGCCATGTACTGGTCTTCATCTGGAACAGCAGTGGGACAAGAGGAGCATGGGGGACATGCTCAGACCTGAGTCCAGAAGACTTCCCTGTGCCAAGTGCCCCGCCCCAGTTTCATATCAAAGACACTTCTTCACCCACAGGCCCCAAAAGCCCACCTGGGCTTCTTCTACCATCTCTACAGTTGAGGGCTCCTTTCTTGAAAAAGAAGGTTCTCCAACAGATAAAGCTGGAGTGTCTGCTGCTGCTGCCCTCATGACAGCCAGCACAAGAACAAACCCATTCTACAAAAGGGGAAGTAATTTCCTGAAAACACAAACAAAGTGAAGTTTTTTACCAGTCTCCAGTTCAGGCCACCAGCGACAGGCTGGCTCTCGGAGCAATGTTGTGGGCAAGTAAACTCACGTCAGAGCCCCAACCTTCTGTAGCTCAGCCCTGCCTGGAGACTGGTGCTGCACAGCACCCTCAAATGCCCTCAGACCTGGCACCTCCAGGTGCTGAGACCTGTCACTTGCCTTCCTTTGCTTATGCCTTGCCCGCTTTGCTGCACGCGTGCTGCTCACTGGTTTGGTTTCAGAGCTGTTTATAAACTGCAATAAATCCTCCACCCTCCGATGGTCAACGACGCTTTCCCTTTCTGAGATCTGATCCATTTTTTTAGGTTGCTCTTCTTTCCTCTTGGTCAGCCGTAAGCGAAGCTTTTCCCTCATTTCTGCGTAATTTCTACTTGTTGGTGCAGCTGGAGGCTGAGAAAAACAACAGTTACGCTTAAGTTTTAAAAATTTTGAATGTAATAAATTTCAGACCACACCTCCAAAAATAAACTGTTTTATTATTCAAGTAGTATATATTTGTTGTGAAAAATAAGGAAATAAAACCAGCAGAAAAAAAGAAAAACCTATCAGCAAGTCATCCAAAAGTGGTATTTTGATACCTAACCTCAAATTTTACATATTCATGAAAAACCCGGTAAAACATGTACAGCTATGCACATAAGTGAATTTTTTTTTTTTTTTTTTTTGAGATGGAGTCTTGCTCTGTGCCCCAGGCTGGAGTGCAGTGGCGCGATCTCGGCTCACTGCAAGCTCCGCCCCCCCGGGTTCACGCCATTCTCCTGCCTCAGCCTCCCGAGTAGCTGGGACTACAGGCGCCCACCACCTCGCCCGGCTAATTTTTCTTGTATTTTTAGTAGAGACGGGGTTTCACCGTGTTAGCCAGGATGGTCTCCATCTCCTGACCTCGTGATCCGCCCGTCTCGGCCTCCCAAAGTGCTGGGATTACAGGCTTGAGCCACCGCGCCCGGCCATAAGTGAATTTTTAAACTAAAAAGGAAACAATTACAAATTCTGATTAATATACTTTATTTATTTATTTATTTACTTATTTTCGAGACAGGGTCTTGCTCTGTCACCCAGGCCGGAGTGCAGTGGTGCGATCATAGCTCACTGCAGCCTTGGTCTCTGGGCTCAAGCAAAGCAGCCATGTACCGTCACACCCACAGCTAATTTTCTTCATTTTTTGTAGAGAAAGGGTCTCACGGTGTCGCCCAAGCTGGTCAATTCCTGGGCTCAAGAGATCCTCCTCCCTTGGCCTCCCAAAGTGCTTGGCCTCTACTTGCTATTTAATATGGTGTGAATATCTTTTCATGTCAGTAAATGTGTCTGTAGTATCTTTCCATCCATTTGTAGGTTTCCTTTTTGGTGCCAAAAACAAAAAAAACCTGCCCTGAATCCTACTGCCAAATTTCTTACTATAAAAATATGTGCACATTTTAGGAAATGCAAACAGAGCTAAAGCAGAAAAAGAACAACTATAAGCCCCTGCTATTCCTACCACCCATCCCTCTTAAACTGCGGGTGATAACTGGTTGTATAAATTAAATCACAGCTCTGGAAAGACGGACAAGTACGTGTGTGTACCAATGCCCTCTGTATTCAAGCAAGAGAAATCCAACTGCACACACACAACGCTGCTGTCACTGGCCACAATGTTCCACCATATGGATACACCATGGTTAACAACCTCCTACCAATGGGTATTCAGTAGGAATACTGCACCCCTGATTTACCGATTACCTTAAAAACCACAAAAAAAATGCAAAAATGAAGCAAAAAATCATTATGGCTAAATCTTTGGGCAAATATTTTTCTTTGCTTCTTTACGATGGATATATCCTAGAGGTGCAGAATTTCTGCAGAGGAGCCCGTGTGCTGCACACTTCCCACATCATGACGTGCTGACCTCACGCACTCACCCCGCCGTGCCCAAAGAATTCGCAGTAGCAGCAGTCGCAGTACTTGCCCTCCTTCTGGTTGGTGGAGGTTGAGGTGCTGGAGCTGTGCTCAGAGCAGCTGTCCTCATCTGCACTCTCGTCCCCATCATCTTGCTGTGGGTCGTAGACACCATTCTCGCAGCGGTGCCCTTCGCAGTCAGGGTCACTGCAAAATTGCACACAAGCTCATCGGCAAGTGGCCGGCCCCGGGAGGCAATGACTCCCATTGTTGCGCATGACCACCCACTGTCCTGCCCATTTCACAGACAAGAGGCAGCACAGAGGATGCATAGCCCCAAGGTTCCTAAGGAGTCATACACATGCACCAAAGACGTTGGCCAGGGGCTCACGTGGGAGGCATGGCGTGTGCGCACGCATGCAGGCGGTCCCTCAAAGCGCTCATACAGCGCCACTGAACAGGAACACGCAGTCTCTCCAATGACTCCTTCTAAGACTGTCCCTGCCACCACAGCTTCCATACTAAGGGGGAGAAGGGGTATAGCTTCAAATGGGAGAGTTCAAAGGTAACAGAAATTGTCTTAAAAGGAAAGTCTGGCTGGGTGCAGGGGCTCACGTCTGTACTCCCAGTACTCTGTGAGGCCGAGGAAGGTGGATCCCCTGAGGTCAGGAGTTCGAGATCAGCCTGGCCAAAATGGTGAAACCCGTCTCTACTAAAAATACAAAAATTAGCCAGGCATGGTGGCGTATGCCTGTAGTCTCACTACTTGGGAGGCTGAGGCAGGAGAATCGCTTGAACCCAGGAGATGGAGGTTGCAGTGCACTGAGATTCCACCACTGCACTTCAGCCTGGACGACAGAGCAAGACTCTGTCTCAAAAACAAAACAAAACAAAACAAAAACCTGTTGAGTGTTTGTCGTACTGTGTTTTTACTATACACATTTCATTCATTTTCTTCTGATTCCACCCTAGGTATAACAAATACAACTTATACAACAAATAACAAACAATGTACGCCCCCAATGCTGTCAGTGTTTAGGGGTAACTGGCCTACCTTCCCATGGCAGCCCACTGCCCCTGCTCTTCTGTCTGCAGAAGTAGAGGCTGAGATGGGAGCCCCTCCACACTTGGCCTCTGCTGGGGACATCCTTGCATTCCCTCAGCATTTCACTAGGCTTTTCAACTGCATGGTCCCGGGGAAGTTTCTGTAGCTGTGCTAGTGCAGTGTAACATCCATTTTCCAAAGCGCTCCCATGTCCCCAATCAGGACTTGGCTCACCTGCAGACACTTGGAGGGGCGCTAATGGAGCCATCTGTGGCCGGGGGCAGGGGTGCAGGACAGAAACTCTTGCGTGTGTCCACAAACCCGGGAGTTGTGGTTGCTGTTTTGGGGAATGATGGGGCTGCAAGATTTGCAAGGTGAGGTGTGGAAGCAGGTGAAAGAGCGGCAGGTGAGAGCGCGGCAGGTGAGAGTGCAGCAGGCGAGAGCGCTGGGAGGGGGGCCAAGCCCGTGGGGCTGTTCCTCGGGGCGGCTGGAGCCGAGTGTCTGTGGTCCTCCTTGCTGATGCCATGAAACACGTCACCTGCATTTAGAGAGGTGAGAGTCACTGCCAAGTTTTTGTTTCAAAAATGTTCAAACCTGCAAAAAATCTGAAAGAACACACAGAGTACCCATTCATCCTTCACCTTGCTTCATCATTACGACCTAATATTCTGTCCTCTTTATAAACTTTATTTCTTACATGCACACACACTTTTTGGCTGAATGTCTGCAAATTGCACTCGCCTCTAAAACACTTCGGCATGAGCTCCTCAGAACATCGACAGTTTGCTTTTTCAAAAAAAACTTCTTGGCTGGGTGCGGTGGTTCACGCCTGTAATCCCAGCACTTTGGGAGGCCGAGGCCGGCGGATCACGAGGTCAGGAGATCGAGACCAGCCTGATTAACTCAGTGAAACCTTGTCTGTACTAGAAGCAGAAAAAATTAGCCGGGCATGGTGGCACGTACCTGTAGTCCCAGCTATTCAGGAGGCTGAGGCAGGAGGATCACAGATCACACCACTGCACTCCAGCAGCCTGGGCGACAGAGCCAGACTCCATCTCAAAGGAAAAAAAAAAAAATCACCTTTTTCTTTTTTAAGAGACAAGGTCTCACTATGTTGTCCAGGCTGGTGTTGAACCCCTGGGCTCAAGCGATCCTCTCATCAGGGCCGCCTGAAGTCCTGGGACTACAGGTGTGAGCCACTTTTTACTTAAAAATTTCCTCCCGTCTCTCTCCTCTCTTTCTTTTCTTTCTTTCCCTCCCTCCCTCCCTCTCTCTCTCTTTTTTTGACATTTTGCTGAATAACCACAATACTACGATCACCTCAATGGCATTTAACACTGACAGGAAGGCTGGGCGCGGTGGCTCAAGCCTGTAATCCCAGCACTTTGGGAGGCCGAGATGGGCGGATCACAAGGTCAGGAGATTGAGACTATCCTGGCTAAC